GCGGAACGAGCGGAGAAAATTCGCACTTATAATTGACCCCAAAATCGAGTAACCGACCACCGTCTTAACTGTGACTGAAAAAAACTAGACCGTATTATGGAAGGCGATTGTGAAGAAATTTTTCGCAAGTTAATTGACTATGAAGTTGAAAAAAATCTAACTCAATTAATTTCTTGGCTCAATAAACCACGACAATAACGAAACTTCGGCTGCTAATGGTTCTCTAACCGAGACGGGAAGGAGAGGCGGAGGTGGTTGAAATTTTGGCGAGGTTGGTCAAGAGACTACCTTTTCTATTTGTTTTAAAGGCCAATATTTTATTTCCGCCAACCAAATATTTTCCTGGTCGACCCTAGCGAATTTCTTAACTAAAAAATATCAACTAAAGGGCCCGAACAAAAAAGGAAGCCATGTTTTTATGGTCGAAGCAGAAACCAATGATATGATGGTTGGAAAAAGGCCGAAGACTTATTAACTGAATTTATAAAAGATAAAAGTTAAAAATGGAGAGAAAACAAAAAGAATATAGGTTAGGGGATACTGAAGAACTTTATAAAAAACTCCTAATTAAAAACAAACCTTTCATTAAAAATGAAGAAGACTTAAAAATTTATTTTACGGGAGAGATAAAAAAGTTTTTCGATGACAATGACTTACCTCTTAATTGAAAATTCGAACATCAGTTAAAATCAAGAAAGCGACTTGATGCTCTTGTCAATAAACGCACGATTATTGAATTCAAAGAACCAAATTTTTTTCTCGGCAGATAAATATTAACAAAACACGGGAGAAAGTCGAAAAAGAGTATATCGATAAAAAGGAAGAAGCAGAAAGAATCAATGCTATATTGTATGATGGTTATAGACTAGGCTTCTATGAAAACAAAGAATTTATTGGCATATTTTTCCTTAATGAAAATGTCGTAAAAAAATTGATTTACTTAATTTTAAATGATGAAAAAAAAGTATTCAGTTCGGAAAACTTGATAAACGATTTTCAAAAAACACAATCATTAGGCAACTTTGCTCGACGATTGTTCTTTATCTTAGAGAATACTCAGGTCCTAAATAAAATTAAAATATTGTTTAGTGAATGAAAAAGACTTTTTAATTTGTCGGAAACCGATAAAAACAGAAGCGAGGATTATCTGAAAAAAGTGCATTCGCTTTCTGCTTTTTTTGAAGTAGAAATTGGCGAAAACGAGAACGAAAGAATAAATAAATGCCTTTTCTCTTTACAAACTGCTTTTGCTTTTTCTTTGAAAATAATTTCTCTCAAAGGTTTAGAAAAGAAATTTAGTTTTAGCGACCCTATCAATTTAAAAAGGATTTCTCTTTCTTCACGGGATGAATTGAAAAAATTTTTAGTTGATTTGGAAAGTGGTAATATTCACAAAGATAACTATAATATCGTCAACTTTTTTGAAGGAGATTTTTTTGGCTGATATGCAGAAGTTTTTGAAAAATGCGAAAATGAAATACGAAAAATTATAGAGCAAATATCCGAATATGAAAACATCAATTACAAAGATGATGATGTTGTGGCTACTAATTTCTTTATCGATTTGTATCGTTATTTCATTCCTTTTGAGGTCCGTCATTCATTGGGAGAATATTACACACCTAAATGATTAGCAGACTTAGTTATCGAAGAAGCCGCTAAAAACAGCAAGAGTAAAGTATCTATTATCAAAATATTGGATCCGGCTTGCGGTTCGGGAATTTTTCTAACCAGTTATATAAAAAAACTCATTAAAGAAAAAAAAGAACTAACTAACAAAGACTTTACAAACAATATCTTCGGAATAGATTTAAATCCCATTGCTGTTCTGCAAGCGAGAATTAACTATTTACTAACCATCAGAAATTATTATCAAAAAGAAGAAACCATTGAAATACCCGTTTATCTGTCAGACTCGATTTATCAACCCCAATTCAAATACATTAATAAAAGAAAATATTTTTTTTATCAGTTGGATACGCAAATTGAAGAAATTATTGGAATTTACCTTCCTATGGGAATTGAGTTATCAGACGGCTTTTTTGGGAAATTGTTTAGAAACATCAGAGATGTTAAACAAGATGCAGTTAAAAATATAACTGAAATTTTTCGTGAAGACCTTGGTATTAACTCTGAAGAAGAATTAAAATGCATCGAAAAAAATGGCCTTCAAATTAATCGAGTTAAACAAAAGAAATTGAGATGGGATATGAATTAATATCATTAAGCAATTTTATAAGGCCTCTCAAATAGAAGACGTGAATTTAATTGTTGGCAATCCGCCCTGAATATCTTGAATTGATCTTCCGGAAAATCATCGTAATCGCATTAAATTATTAAAAAATGTTAAGTCTATATTTGGTGTCCCACGAAATATTGGTGGCAATAATTTAAATGTTTGTGCTTTAATGGCTAATGTAGTAGCCTCGCGAAAACTTAATTATAAAACAGGCTGCTTGGGTTTTATCATGCCGAAAAGTTTATTGTTTAATTCTTCTTATGAAGGGTTTCGCCCTTTTATATTAGAAAGCGGGGAAAGGTTGTATTTACAAAAATACTTTAATTTTGATAATGTTAAGAGACCTTTTGGAGAGGTAGACTTACCATTTGGAATTTATTTTTATTCTTCTCAACCAGTAGATTATCAGCAAGGAATAGAACAGATCATTTTTTACTCCAAAAAAAACCAACAAGATAAAGGAAAGAACTTGCTGGTTTCTATACAAAAAGACAGCAATAATTTTTCGGTAGTAGATAATGAAGAAGAGTTAAAGTTCTTTAAACTAATTCAAGGAGAATTTGCTTATAAATTTCGCACCGGTGTCTCTGTGACTAGGAAAGATATTTGCCGCTTTTTCTATGAAAAAAAGCGTTCGTCTGCAACTTCTTATTTTATTAGAAACCAGAAGGGCAAAAAAATTAAAATGAGTGAAAATTTAGCTCCTTCAATAGAATTAGAAAATGAAATGATGTATCCTTATATAACTACTTCCAATCTCTCTCCATTTAAAAAGAATGAAAAAGAAATCGAATGAACTTTCTTTCCTTATGACGCACAAAAAAGAGAAAAACAGCCGCTAACCATTAACAAAATTATAAATGCTTGGCCGAAATTGTCTGACTATATTCACCAAATTAAAAAGATGCTAAGTCAAAAAAGTCAATATTCCCAAAGAATCCAAAACGTTTCAGAAAAACATGGCTTATTAAGAATAGGTGAGTACACTTATGCGGAACATTTTGTTTGTTGTCGGGATAATACTAAATGAGCAGCCAGCTATTTCAGTAAAATAAATACTCCGTGACAAGAAGAAAAAATTCCTTTATTTGACAGCCACATTAAGTATATTTCCCAGGACAAGAAAGGTGATTCTATTTTTCAAGATGAAGCATATTACATAACAGCAATTTTAAACGCTCCTATAGTTAAGAAATTCATGGAAGCCTCTAATGCAAAGCGAAATTATTCCTTCAAGAACATTTCTATTTTTTGCCCTAAATACGACGAAAAAAATGTATTGATTGTGGCTTTGAAAAACATAACTCATCAGATAATAGAGTTGAAAAAAGACTTCGATTTCTGCTTAATGGAAGAGTTAAACAAAATTTATCTCCAATTTTGTCGAGAGGAGAAAGAAAAAGGCCAAGAATTCGCTAATCGAATTTAAAAAGAGTAAAAAAATTAAAAGCAACAATATATTTAAAAGAAAAAACGATATGATAAAACGCTATTCTCGTTATTGATTTAAATTAAGAAAACAAATTTCTACTCCCACCAAACGTATTCCCGACCAAGAAATTGGGGAAGACATAACTACTTTAAGTAAATATATTAATCGACAGGGGCGAATTATTCCTCGTATTCATAGCAAATTAAGTGCCAAGGACCAGCGTAAAGTAGCAAAAAAAAAAATCAAAACCCTACGGCAAATGGCTTTATTGCCTTATATCATAGAAAAACAAAATGAACAACCGCAAGAAACGACGGACAAATCTCCGACTTAAAACATTGTTTTACTTTTGGTAATTAGGCTTAAAAAATTACCATGACGCTAAAACCTAACAGACAAAGCAAATCATTATGTTCTATTACTTATGAAAAAATTTGGCTTTAAGGAGATATTTTTCTCACCGTGACCAAATATTAGCACGGGAAAAAGAGACTAGTTTGTTAAGTGATTACGAAATTCAGGCTAAATTTAACTCTTGACACGAGAAAATTCAAAATAGCAAAAAAAGTGAACGAGAAAAGTTGCTAGATGAATGCGTAGTGCCAGTTTTTGCCCTCGTGCGGGAAGTTATCCGCCGCCAAATTGGATTGTTACTTTTTCCCACCCAAATTTTTGGCGGGCTGGTTCTTCACGAGGGGAATATCGCCCAAATGAATACGGGAGAAGGCAAAACCTTAACGGCTTTTTTGCCAATCTGCCTTAATGCTTTGACCGGAAAATCCGTTTTTGTGGTGACCGTTAACGAATATTTGGCCCATCGCGACTGACAACTAGCCAAGCCTGTGCTGGACTTCTTTGGCATTACTTCCGGAGTTAATTTACGGGATTATTCGGCCGTTGAGAAGAAAGATTTATATCATAATTGCACGGTTATTTACACCACCAGCAGCGAGTTAGGTTTTGATTATCTTCGGAATAACCTAGTAACTAATATTGACGAGAAGCGGAAGCAGGATTATTATTATGCCATTATTGACGAGGTCGATTCTATTTTAATTGACGAAGCTCAGAACCCCCTGATTATTTCCCGGCCAGCCCGAGGAAAAGGCAAAATTCATCCTCTCGAATATCAATTAGCCACCAAAATAGCCAGCTTCCTGGAAGAAAAAAAAGATTATATTGTCGACCAAAAAGAGAGAAGTTTGTGATTAACAGAACAAGGAGGAAAAAAAAGTGAAAAATTTTTTCCCTTATCCAGTGATAACTTTTTTTCTTTTACTAATCAACGTTATAATTTTTTACTTCACAATGCCTTAAAATCTCTTCATTTTTTCCATCATAAGGTTGATTACGTAGTTTACAAAGAAAAGTTAATTTTAATTGACCTTCTTACTGGTCGTTTGGCTCTCAACCGAGTTTATGGCTCCGGAATACAACAAGCTATTGAAAGTAAGGAGAACCTACTAGTCTCTCCTCCTAGCAAGAACATTGCTACTATTACTTACCAAAATTTCTTTCGGCTTTTTACTAAACTATCAGGCATGACCGGCACAGCCGAAAGCGAGGCTAAGGAATTTCGGGAAGTTTACGGGATGGAAGTCATTGTTATCCCTCCTTACCGTAAGTTGATTAGAAAGGACCATGAGGCTCTATTTTTCTTGGACCGAAACAATAAATACCGGGCCGTAGTCCGAAAAATCAAAAAAAATTTTCAAACTAGGAAAAGACCAATCCTGGTAGGCTCTCCTAATTTAGAAGTTTCCGAACATATTTCGCAGTTGCTAACCCAGGAAGAAATTTTTCATCAGGTTTTAAATGCGACTAATCACGAGCTCGAAGCCCAAATCATTTCCCAAGCCGGAGAAATAGATTCCGTAGTTGTTTCCACTAACATGGTAGGCCGGGGGGTTGATATTCCTTTGAGTAGAGAAAGCAAGGAGGCCGGGGGGTTGATAGTGATTATAGTTGAGCCTAACTCGATTTTGCGACCTGACCAACAATTTCGGGGGCGGGCTGGAAGACAAGGTGATCCAGGCGAAACTTGGCTTTATGTTTCGGCAGAAGACGACCTAGTAAAAAATCTTGATATCAAGAAAAACGCGACCCGGTTTTTTGGTTGACAAACTTCCGAAACAGTATTACAACGTGCCCTCAGTGGCAAAGTTATTAACTTGCTTGTTTCGGAAGCCCAAGAAACTCTTCGCAATATTCAAGCCGATCACCGGCAGCGAACCCTTAACCGTGATTTGCTGATTAATCGACAACGAAAGATAACTTACCATTATCGAGAAAAAATATTAACCGGCTCAAAATTGGAAAAGTTAGCCTCCTTTCCGGCTCCAAATAATTTCAATAATCAAAGCAAACATCTTCGTTCGCTTTTGCTCCGTCACGTAGATGATTTTTGGTCCGAGTATCTAGAATGTTTAAACAAAATTGACGAACTAACCAAAGTAAGAGTTTGATTGCCTCAAGACCCCCAAGAAGCTTTTTTTTGAGAAACTATGACCTCATTTCACCAAGGATTTCAAAAGTTAAAGAGAAAAGTAGAGAAAGAGATTTTACACTGATTTTCAGTCGGGAATGAGAGTTAATCACACGTTAAAATTATCTTAATGAATATTATTTTTGTAAAGAAAAAATTAGTTGTATGATAGGTAGCGACCAGAAAAATAGGAAAAATTGGGCAGAATTAACATTATGAGAATAGTGATTAATAAGTCATAAAATTGTAATTAGATTAGAATGTCAGAGATTATCTGTGAAGAAAGCAAGAGCGTTAGAACTCGTTTTGCCCCTAGTCCGACCGGAGATTTACATTTAGGTGGAGCCCGAACGGCCTTATTTAATTATTTGGTAGCAAAACAGAAGCGAGGACAGTTCATTTTAAGAATTGAAGACACCGATCAACAAAGAAATCACGAAGAATTTGTTCATCGACAATATGAAGATTTGGTTTGATTAGGATACCAACCGGACGAATCTCCTCTTCGGAATAGTAATTATGGCCCTTATCGGCAAAGCCAGAGACTAGACATTTATCAAAAATACCTGCAACAATTATTAACAGAAAAAAAGGCTTATTATTGTTTTTGTTCGGCGGTCGAGTTAGCCCAAGAAAAAGAAAAATATCTTCGGGAAAATCAAAAAAGTAATTACCAATATTCTCGCAAATGCCTAAAATTAACTCCCCAAGAAGTTAACCTTTTTCTCCGAGAAAAAAAGAGTTATCTTATTCGTTTTCATACTAATCAAACAAAAAACTACCAATTAATTGACTTAGTTCGAGGCCAAGTAGTTTTTCCTGGTAATGATATTGAAGATTTTGTGCTCTGTCGAAGTAATGGTGTTCCTTTGCTTAACTTTGCGGTAGTAGTTGACGACCACACCATGAAAATTAACCAAATTTTACGGGGCGAAGAACATTTATCCAATACGGCTAAGCAGTTGGTTTTGTATGAAGCTCTAGGCTGAACTCCACCCCAGTTCGGCCATCTCTCCTTAATTCTTAATCAAGAAAAAAAAAAATTATCCAAAAGAGACCCGGAAACCGGCCGGTTTCAGTTAATAAAACAACTCCGAGAATTAGGTTATTTACCGACTGCCCTAACCAACTATTTGCTTTTTCTGGGGTGACATCCTGGCACCACCCAAGAAATTTTTTCGTTGCAAGAAGCCATAAAAAATTTTAATTTAACCGGTTTACACTCTCGCGGTGCCGTTTTCACTTTAACCAAACTTAATTGATATAATAATTATTATATTCAAAACCTAACCCGGGAAGAATTTGCTGACTATTCCTGGTTAGTTTTCCGAAAAAAATACCAATTGCCGGAAAACAAAAAAGAATGAACTACCCAAATTGGACTTTTGTTTCGCCCCCAATTAAACTTTTTTCAAGAGTTAATTGATTTGAGCCAATACTTTTTTCAAAAGCCACCAAGGGAAGATAACCATGATACCACAAAGTTAAAAAAAATTGGACAATTACTCACCACAATTGAGAACTGAACCGAAGAAAACGTTCGTAGTGTTCTACACCACCAAGAAAGAAAAATATTTCCTCTTTTGCGAAAAAAACTCACGGGTCAAGACCACGGACCGGAATTAGCAAAAATTATTTATTTAGTAGGGAGGCAGGAAACAATTAGCAGGCTTGAACTTTAAAATAAACACAATTGAAACAAAATCTTTCGTGCAAAAACGCACTCAATATTATTGGCATTCCCAGCACGCTCCGATAAGAACAACAAAATCAACCAGTTCCTCAGAAACTTTTTTGTCATTCAAAAAAAAAGCAAGAGTAAGGAAAAAGACAAAAATAATAACTGCCAACTCTAAACTAGCCCATATTCATTTTCAGTAGTAATCCCATTTGTCTTCTCATTCAGCAGGTAATTTACTTATGTTTTGATTGTCGTTATCCGTAATTATCTACTATCGGGCTTTTTACTTATTTTTACTTGACTGGCTTTAAGAACCTGGTCGCGAAGTAAATAACCTTTTTTTATCACTTCCAGAATAGTGTTAGAGGCTAGTTCGGAATTTTCTTCGGTAGCCACAATCTCGTGATAATAACTGTTGGCTCGGTCTTCAGACACTTTGATTTTAATTTCTTTTACTCCTTCTGCTTCCAAATTTTTCTCGACTTTATTTTTTATCATCTTTATGGCTAATGAGTGCGTTTTGACTACGGCTTCCGATTCTTTCTGCATGAATTGTAAGGCTCTTTCTAAGTCTTCTAAAAAATCCAAAACTCACAAAATAATCCTCTTATTACCATAATTTCAAACTCGCTCAGTTTCTCGCTGATGAATTTTTTTTTGGTTTTCGTTATCGGCTAATAAACGCAATTTTTCCTCATGAAGACGGACTACTTCGGCTTCTAATTCTTTCTCTCGTTCCGT